AATAATAAATTTTAAAATAAATCTTCAAAATAAAGAAGTGAAATATTTAAGAGTCACCGTCTCCCATCATTACCCCTCAAAAATCCATTTTAGCAAAGTCGGTTGGTTATAGTGTCTGTGAACTCTAAATCCAAAGGTTAGTTTGACTTAATCTTTACTGTTTTGCATATGCACCTATGTCCCTCATCATACTAAAATGTAACAGGAAGGCTCCTGCCCTACTTTGTGCTAGGATTATGCTTTGGGACATCCTAGCTTTCCTATCTCCAAGAAACAGATTTCTTTTCTTTATAAGTTATCATGCTATAGCAGCTTAAAATGGACTAAGATACTAAATAGCATGTTATTGAATACACAATTGGTAAAATAAACCAAAAAGTAACTTACAAAAAATGCCTTATGAAAAATAAAAAGAAAAATACAGTATCAAATAAAAAGAGTTCACAAAAAACTTAGGATGTCATTGTCACAAAAATAGCATAATTATAAAATCTTTATTGAAACATGACAGAATGTGAACCAAAACAGTACTAAGAAGGAAAAGCATGCAACTGACAGCTGAAGGAAACTCAGTTTCCTCTAACGGAATGGTACTAGGAATATCCACCACACTCCGGGAAGTTCCATGATCATGAGTGACTGGCCAATACAAAATAAGCTCCATGTTATTTTTTTGATTGAGAGAAAGAATATAAACCTGGGTGGTAGAATATTGGAGCTAGAGGAGGGAAACAAACATATATTGTTTGGCATTTAAAAAATAAAATAACAAACACTAGTAAATAAGTGAAGAAAGTAGTTGTAAAAAAAGAAAGGAGAGACCAGCCTGGACTCTTGGGGGAGTGCCTGGACCCTGCCCAGAGTGAAACGGCGGACTCTGGTGTCCCCTATGTGGAAGGATTTGGCAGTGGGGTGGGGGGAGAGGGGGTGCGGGAGGGGGGGAGAGGGGGGAGCTGGGGTTGACATGTGAAACAAGCTATTTAAAATTTTTTTAAAAATGGGAGAAAAAAAATTCACTATGTAGCCCAGGCCGGCCTTCAATTAAAGATCCCTGCATCTCAGAAACAAAACAAAAAAAAAAAAAAAAGAAAGGAGTTGTTATTCACTGTTGGTATATAACTACCAGTAGCATCACTGGCTCACTTGATTGTATTTTTGGCTGGTATATACCTAAAGGCCTCTAACTCAACATGCCATATACCAGAGCTACCTGCATATTGATGTTTGTTTCTGTATTATTCACAATATCGAGGAAACTGAATTCATACAGACATTAATAAATGAATGCTAAAAAACGTGGTATAAATACAGAATAGAAATTTAGGGAGGTGTAATAAAAAATGAAATCAGAACATTTTAGGAAAGTAGATTAAACTGGAAATAATTATGCTTAGTGAAATAAGCCACAAACATATTTTCCTCTAATATAAGGAATCTTGGTTTTATAAGGGAAATGTGTACATATAATATATGTATATATATATATATATATATATGTGTGTGTATGTGTGTATACATGTGTGCAGACATGTCTATGTATAGACATATGTACTTACATATGCAAACACACACATATATACACACACATACATTATATGTAGGGAGGACATGGAACTGGAAAGAGGATAAAAAGATGAGTTGGAGATATCTTAAGGGAAAATGGAAAAGGGAGGGCAATAGATTGCATGTGGCAAGAAAGGGTAGAGAAAGTGAAGGAAGGAAAAAAACCAGACAGAGGGATAAGGCAGTCACAGGTGATGATAATAAGAGAAAGTAGTAAATGAGAACAGCACATATGCATGAAAATACCGTAATGAAACTCACCTAAAAATTAATTTAAAAAATTCTTTAAAATCATCATGAGAAACCACTTTCTACTTAATGGAATGGCTGATAAATTTAAATTTGTAATATCAAGTGTTAATAATCATATAGTGAAAATGTAAAATAATGTAACATTAGAAACATTTTAGATTTATAAATTTAAGGAAATATTTGCAATGTACATGCAACCTGTCTATTCTAATCTTTGTTATTTTTTAAGACAAAATAAAAACATTATGTTCTTACCAAACCTTATGTTGGCATATTCACAGGAGCTTTATTTATAAGTGTTTATAACTGGGAGCAACCCAGATATCCACTAACTGCTGAACATGTGAAAAGGATCAACTACTGGTACAATTATCATATCATGCATGGCATTATGTTAAGCGAAAGAAGGCAAATACAAAAGATACTGTTGTTTTAGCTACAGCAATAAGACAACAAAAGGAGATAAAGGGGATACACATAGGAAAAGAAGAAGTCAAATTTCACTATTGGCAGATGATATGATAGTTTACATAAGTGACCCAAAAAACTCCGCAGGGTTACTCCTAGAGCTGATAAACACCTTCAGCAATGTGACAGGATACAAGGTAAACTCAAAAAAATCAGTGGCCCTATTATATACAGATGATGAAGTGACTGAGGAAGAAATCAGAGAAACATCACCCTTTACAATAGCCAAAAACAGCATCAAATATCTGGAGATAATGTTAACCAAGGAAATTAAAGACCTGTATATCAAGAACTTTGTGTCTTTAAAGAAAGAAATCAAAGAAGATACCAGAAAATGGAAAGATCTCCCATGCTCTTGGATTGGTAGGATCAACATAATAAAAATGGCAATCTTGCCAAAAGCAGTCTACAGATTCAATGCAATCCCTATCAAAATTCCATCACAATTCTTCAAGGACCTGGAAAGAACATTAATCAACTTTATATGGAAAAACAAAAGGCCCAGGATAGCTAAAACATCCCCCCTATACAATAAAGGAACTTCAGGAGGCATCCCCATATCTGACTTCAGGCTCTATTATAGAGCTATAGTCCTGAAAACAGCTTGGTATTGGCACAAAAATAGGCAGGTAGACCAATGGAAGCTAATCGAAAGCTCTAATTTTAACCCACACACCTATGAACACTTGATTTTTGACAAAGAAGCTAAAACTGTACAATGTAAAAAAGAAAGCATCTTCAACAAATGGTGCTGGCATAACTGGGTACTGGTATGCAGAAGACTGCAGATAGATCCATGTTTATCGCCTTGTACAAAACTTAAGTCCAAATGGATCAAAGATCTCAACATAAATCCAGCCACACTGAAACTTTTAGAAGAGAAAGTGGGAGATACTCTTCAACGAGTTGGTACAGGAGACTACTTCCTAAACATAACACCAGTGGCACAGGCACTGAGATCGACAATTAACAAATGGGACCTTCTGAAACTAAGAAGCTTCTGTAAGGCAAAGGACACAGTCAGCAAGACAAAAAGGCAGGCCACAGAATGGGAAAAGATATTCACTAACCCTACATCTGACAGAGGGCTAATCTCCAAAATCTACAAAGAACTCAAGAAACAAGTCTCCAAAACACCAAAGGATCCAATTAAAAGGTGGGGTACAGAGCTAAATAGAAAATTCTCAGTAGAGGAGGCTAAAATGGCCAAGAGACACTTAAGAAAGTGCTCAACATCCTTAGCCATCAGGGAAATGCAAATCAAAACAACTCTGAGATACCATCTTACTCCTGTCAGAATGGCTAAAATTAAAAACACCGAAGACAACTTATGCTGGAGAGGTTGTGGAGAGAGGAACACTCCTCCACTGCTTGTGGGAGTGCCGACTCATACAGCCTCTTTGGAAATCAGTATGGAGATTCCTCAGGAAAATGGGAATTAATATACCACTAGACCCAGCAATTCCACTCTTAGGCATATATCCAAATGAGGCAAGTTCATACAACAAGGGCATCTGCTCCACTATGTTCATAGCAGCATTATTTGTAATAGCCAGAACCTGGAAGCAACCTAGATGCCCCTCAACTGAAGAGTGGATAGAGAAAATGTGGTACATTTACACAATGGAGTATTACTCAGCAGAAAAAAACAATGGAATCTTGAAATTCGCAGGTAAATGGATAGCACTGGAAGAAACCATCCTGAGTGAGGTAACCCAGTCGCAAAAAGACAAACATGGTATGTACTCACTCATATATGGATTTTAGACATGGATCAGGATAGTGCCAGTTTGCACTTCCACTGATAGTCTGGGAAGCAGGAAAGAACCTAAAAGATATGCATATATGCATAGTACCCAAGAGAAGAGGATTGAGACAAGATCCCCTGAATGGATGGGGAACACGGCGAGGGGTGGGGGGGAGTGGGACCTGGGAAGAAGAGAGGGGTGAAGAGGAAGAGAGTTGGTCATGGGGGAAAAGGAAGTTGAGGGGGTGGGGGTAGAATAGGGGGAAGAGGGAATCATAGGATCGAATACAGATCAGGCACCAGAGCGACCTCGAGTGATCTAAAGGGATAACACCAATTGGCAAGCTAAGCAATAGTGGAGAGACCACCTCGAATGCCCATTCCTGATAATGAACTTGATGTCTATAACCATCCGGGAGCCTTCATCCTGTGACTGATGGAAGCAGAGGCAAACACACAATTAATCACTGAACTGAACCCAAGTAACCCAGTGACGGAGAGAGAGGAGTGATGAGCAAATTGGCAAAGGGTGGGCTGGCAAGGCCAGCAGAGACAGCTGATCTGAACAGGGGAGAGCTCTTGGACCCCAGACCGATGGTGGGGAGGCCAGCATGGGACTGATCTGGACCCCCCAAATGTGAGTGTCAGCTAGAAGGCCTGGGCAACCTATGGGGCCCTGAGCTGTGGATCAGTGTCTATCCCTGGTATACAAACAGTCTTCGTGTGCCTATAGCACAAAGAGGGATGCTCTGTCAGCCTGGACTCTTAGTGCCTGGACCCTGCCCAGAGTGAAATGACAGACTCTGGATATCCCCTATGTGGAGGGATTTGGCAATAGGGTGGGAGGGTGGGGGGATGGGGGAGTGCGGGAGGAGGGGAGGGAGGGGGAGCTGGGATTGACATGTAAAACAAGCTATTTGAAATTAAAATAAAAAATGATTTAAAAAAATGAACAAAGTATGATGCTTACATGCTCTAGGAAGCAGGGTCCTATCTCACTGAGGTGGGGGTCATCATTGTTGTACTGCTTCTCCAGGTCTCTCACAAAGCCCATCTGAAATCTGTAGATGTCTTCAATGTTCCCAAAGATGACCTTCAGTTGCTCATCACTGAACATGTCCCTTCTCTTTCGGCACTGCTTCAGGTAACCCTGCAGACAAAGGAAAAGCTCATTGTGAGGATGTCCTTCCTGCTGCTTCCTAGGCACAAGGAGAATCATTTTCATTACATGAAGTAGGCAGGTAGTTCTTATTTTCAATTTTCATAATGAGAAACAGCTCTGGTGAAGGGGATTACCCCATTAGTATGTCTTCGGAGTATGATTACCCTGGAATGCTTATATTTTCTCTCTGCTTGTATGAGAAAAAAAACACAAGAGGCCAAGGGCCATTTCCCAGAGCCTAGATCATACTTAGTATTGATTGTATTCAGAATACTAGGAGAAAATGGAGATATACTTCAGTGGCAGAATACACAAGACCGGAGTTAAATTTATAGAACCAAATGTGTCTTTTTGTTGACAGGGAATAGTGTACCAAAGATGTGAGTGGTTCCAGCTAAGTAACAGTTACTAAGATGGCATGTATGCATAACGATCTAGTAACCAAAGTAGGAGTACAACCCCCCAAAAAAAACAGGAATTGAGAAAACAAAACCATTACTTACTTATTATTTTGAGAAAAGTTCTATGTAGCCCAAACTCGCCTCAAACTCATACCACTCCTGCTTCAACTTCACATGAACTGATATGTCACAATATGTCACTATATCTGTCTCTAAACCATTCTTTTAAATGAATTTCTCTGCTATCTATGACCAGGAAAGCGTATAGATAATCTTAGCCATAAAACCCAAGACATTATATATGAACCACATGCAGACGAATGATGAAAGGAAACTGGATAAGAATTCATTTCCTGATAAGAAATCCCTAAATTAACAATGACATAAACATTCAGTCTAGATAGCACACTCCCTTAGATGTCAATTCAGAAAATATTTAATAGTCATGTCCATTCTTCCCATTTGAAAGGTTTAAAGAATGACCCAAACATCATATGATATTCAAAATACAGCAAGGATGCTAGAGTTCAAAACCAGTATGGAAAGTAGTGACTATAAAAAAGATGAAAGGAAGCTGGGCGTTGGTAGCGCATGCCTTTAATCCCAGCACTTGGGAGGCAGAGGCAGACGGATCTCTGTGAGTTTGAGGCCAGCCTGGTCTACAAGAGCTAGTTCCAGGACAGCCTCCAAAGCCACAGAGAAACCCTGTCTCGAAAAACCAAAAAAAAAAAAAAGATGAAAGGAAGAGCCAATGAAGCTTCTCAGTTCCCCAAAGATATTCATTATCACTGTGAAGTAATTCGTTTCCTTTGTATGATGTATGAAATTTAACTACATATTAAGAAGAATGCAGGATGGTACTTTCTTAAAGTTAAAGACAGGGAATTAATACACATTCAATTTAGTGGTATATTATAGCTATTAAAACGATTGAAAAATAGTGAAGAAACGTGGAAGAGATTTATGGCATAACAGTAAAATATGAATGGTATATCAATATGATAATAATTTTGTACATTTATATACCTTATATTCTTCCTTTTGTTGAAAATAACAGAAGGAAAAGAGCTCAAGAAAAGACACAAGAAACAGTTACAAATGTAAAGACCCACTCCTTCCCACACTCAGGAATCCAATAAAACCACAAAACTGGAAGCCATACTATATATATAGAAAGGGCCTGTAGGGCTGTAGGGTAAAAGAAAAGAATATTCTCTCTCTCTCTCTCTCTCTCTCTCTCTCTCTCTCTCTCTCTCTCTCTCTCTCTCTCTCTCTCTCTCTCTCTTCCTCCCTCCCCCCTCTCTCTTTCCCTCCCTCCCCCCTCTCTCTTTCCCTCCCTCCCCTCCCTCTCTCCCTCCCCCCTCTCTTTCTTTTCCTTTCTCCTTTTGTCCTACAGGTACCCTATATAAACAAAATGTAATTTTTTTAAAGCCTTAACATGACATTATAAAACAAGGAACTACCAAAGATGTCACTGAGTTCATTTTCTATTGGCCATTGACTGCTGGGCATATGGAGAGGGATTTGGTGGAGACATTCTGTTTAGGGCTGAGTGTTTCAAGGTTTCCCACTCTGCATATTCTCTGGGTGTTCATTTTGTTCTATATTTGTTCCCATCTGCTATAGGAGGAAGCTTCCCTGATGATGGCTGAGCAAGGCACTGATCTATGAGTATAGCAGAATGTCATTAAGATTCATTTTATTCCTGTTCTTTTAGTAGAACCGTAGTATTTGTTTTGAATCTAGGACTCTGGGCTATCTAGAACTCTGGGTATGGTTTCCATCTTGTAGTCATACCAGATTGTTTAGTTACTCCCACAAGCTTTGTACCACCATCACATTAGCATAGTTTGTAGGCAGGATATAATTGTATATCAAAGGGTTTGTGGCTGGGTTGGTCTTTCCATTTCTCCTTTGATTGAGTGCAGAATATCTTCCTATAACAAAGACACTAGCACCTATGGGTAAATGCTCTATGTAGGCACCTGGTTGACTTCTCCATGTTTGATGCGTTGTATAGGTGTTATCTTGAGCATTAGGACCTTGCCATCAGTTTGTGGAGAGCAACCCATTGTCTTGGCAACAACCTAGGTTGTTTGAGGTTCCTATAGGGCCCCTTTGGCCAATAAATCAATTAGATGTAACCTATTCCTAGTACTGGAAGCTTCATTTGGTGACAAGAGATGTCCAGTTGGGGCTCTGTTTCCTTAATTATTTGGCAATTTCATTTAGATTCCTTTCATATATGTACGTATTTTAGGAAGCTTTTACTGTATTAGGTTTCCATACTACCTCTCAAATGACCCTTAATTTTAGCTGTCTCTCCCTATATTCCCTCCCTTGTCCCCCTCTTTCTTCTCACTTCCCACTTAATCCTCCCATTCCAGTCACTCCAGCTCTATCCATTCATAACTATCTATTTGTATTTCCCATTCATACAAAGAGATATATGTTCCTCTAGTCTATACCTAATCTTACTCTAAAACTAACCTCTGTGGTTCTAGGGATCGTAACTTGGTTGTCATTGATTTAACAGCTAATATCCACATATAAGTGAATATATACCATGTTTTTCTTTCTGGGCCTAGGATACCTAACTCAGGATGATTTTTTTCTATTTACATTCATTTTCTTGTGAATTTCATGATTTCACTTCTAAATAGCTGAGTAATATTCCATTGTGTAAAAGTACCACCATATTTGCTTTGCCCATTCATTTGTTGATGAACATTTCTACAATTCCTGGATATTGTGAATAGAACAGCAATGAACATGTGGTAGAACAAAGTGTCTTGATTGTGTTCCCAAGAGCAGTATAACTGGATCCCGAGGAACCAAATACTGATTTCCATAGCGTCTGTACAAGTTTGCACTTCCACCATCAATGGATGATCACTTCCCTTACCCACATCCTCACTGATATGAGCTGTCATTTGTTTTATTGATTTTAGCCATTCTAACAAGGTAAGATGAAAACGCAAAGTAGTTTCATTTGCATTAATTAAAGACTAAGGGTGTTGAGCATTTCTTTAAATATTTCTCAGGGATTTGCAATTCCTCTTTTGAGAATTCTCTGTTTAGATCTATATCCTGTTTTTTTAAATTGGGTTACTTGTCTCTTGAATCCAGTTTTTTGAGTTCTTTATATATTTTAGATATATTATTTATACTTCTAGATATTAGCCCTCTGTTGTGTGTGTGGTTGGTTAAAAAAAACAGCCAACAAACCAAACAAAAAACATCTTTGCCCATTTGCCCATTCTGTAGGCTACTGCTTTATCACCGATTATGTTGTCCTTTGACGTATAGAAGCTTTTCAGTTTAATGAAGTCGAATTTATTAATTGTTGAACTTAGTGCCTGGAATACACCTTAATTTTGACCTTAAATGGGTAAAATTACAATAGATTGTGCACAAGTACAATTCTGTTATATTTGTATATTTTTGTTGATTTTTTTTACTTTCAAACTCTGATTTTTAAAGATGTCTTCACTGTTCAAAGTGAGAAAAAGCATTTTCCAGAAAATACAAAGAACAAAATATATACTCACAAGAAGAGGAATTTATCATTTTCTAAATGTCTCTGGCAGACCTAGCATATTACAATATTTAGAATGACCTTCAAAAAAGGAAAAAAATTAACTTCTCAGCCTTTTGGCTAAGATCAAGTGTAAAAAAGGAAATCCTAGGAACAGGCATAAGACTATGGGAGGAACAAAAGAAGCCAAGAAAGATAATTAGTTTCCCTTATTTTGACTGCCTATTGACTATGAGATTTTTATATAGCAGAGACAATGGTCTTATCAATATCTGTGTCTTCCCACTCATACAGTTTTGAAAGTATGTAAGTTTAAGATGAGTTGATCATGAAATGTGATGGCTCAAAACATAAATGCTATCTTAAGTTAGAAAAAAGACAAAAGACTGAGGCAAACAATAGAGTGGTAATTTGAACAGTCACACAACTATGGGAGAACAGCTTTCAGTTCTGAGACACCCTTTCCGAAGAACAGCAGACTGGAACACATAAGAGACACTCCATAAGGCTGAAGTTTTATCTGTTGGTAGAGGGCTTGCCTAGAATGTATATGGCCCTGGGGTTAATCCTCACCACCAAGTAAACTGGTCATGGTAGTACATGCCACACTCAGAACTTGAGAGGTAGACGCAAGAAGACCAGAAGTTCAAGAGCAGTCTAGGACATAAGAGATACTGTTTTAAAAATAAAAAGTATACTCAGAAAGTACTGTTGAATTGTTTAGAGTGATGGATGGTATTGATTGATGCCTCACATGACAAGGCATCATTCTTAAAAGATACTATGAGTGCCATGACTCCAAATAGTTTTAATTTGCATTTCTCAAATTAGTAAGGATGAGGAATACATTTTGAAATATCTTATATCAAATCAATAGCTCGGTATTTAATTGGATCATTTGTTTTCTTTATTTTTACTTATTTTTATTTTACTTTTTGAGTTCTTTGTATATTCTGTATAATAATCCTCTCCTTTGAGATTTCAATTAACCACAGTCAGAATGGCTAAGACCGAGAAAACAACTCACAACAAATGCTTGCGAGGATGAA